AAAAACAAGGAACTCATGCAATATTATTCAAAATGGTTGAAAACCCAAAAATCTCTGTAAATGTTCATTAAAACTAATAAATTTAATAATAATAAAAAAGGTAAAGCAGCAAAGAATTCTCTCTGTTTTGCCGTAAGAAAAACAAGAAGTTGTTTTTATTACATAAATAGAAAATCAACACGAAAAGGCAGGGTTTGGGAGAAATATCAAAATGCACTTTTTAAACGAAGTTGTTAGGTGCCGTGGACTTGATTTCCATTCACAGTGACTCCAAGTGCAATGTAACAAAACCCTGACCTGTCCCATGCGGTCCTCACAATGGCTGCATTCCTGAGCCCTGCATGTAGCACGTACCGTGTCAATCTGCCTCGTTAGGGTGTTGTTAGGTACCATCGAGTAGACTGTGGCTCATAGCCATCCCATGAACTCCCAACCCTGACTCAGTCCCTTCTTCATTTTAAACCATGTAGTGTTCCCTTACTCTGTTTGGCAACAACCTCCTGGTCCAGGTATAAATTTTGCAGGAAAACTGAGTGAGGGAAGAGGGTAGAGAAAATAACAATGTACATGAATGAAACACAATGTAAAAAAAATATTGTATCCAAAACCATAAAAACATTAAAAAAAAAAAGAGCCACTCTCCGTGGACCCTGCCTCATACACACGACAAAGACCACCCAAAAGGCCGAACCCTTCTGCCAACAAATTGATTCTGACTCAAAGGGACCCTCTGAAACAGAATAGAGCTGCCACCTATGGTTTCCCAAGACTGTAATCTTAGGGGTGAAGTAGAGGCAATCGGTGAGACTTTGCAGGCAGAAGGGAGATGGAGGACATCTTTTGACTGCTATTTCTGCCCACAAGCAAAGTTACAAAGTCAAGAGTGTGGAGAGGCAGCAGTGGCTGTAGGGTCAGAGGCTGCCTGGCCTCTAGATTACAGCCACCAGTTTCCTCTAGAAATAAATCATTGTGGTGATGGTCCTTGATGTCCCCTCCACTAACCCTGCCAGTGACTTAGAAGCAACCAATTCCTGAATTAAATCCTTTATGATTAAAATATGTATAGTGTTTCCAGAGCTAAATCTTGACTGATTCAGGAATGAATGCTTCATGGAAAGAAATATTATAAAGTTCAGTGAAAGCATTAGTTTCATGCGGCTCCTTCAAACTTGCTTAAATTTAAATTATGAGTCAATTCAACGTTCTCCTTATTGAAAGGTTTTTCTCTTTGAGTTTTCTGGGAACTTGAACAATTAGCTCTGCATTTATATATCATAGGAAAGGAAGAATATACTTTAATGATGAATCTTAACGTAGATTTGAACTTCTAGAACGTGTCTTTACAAAGAAGGTACAGACCCTTATCTTCTTCCTCTTGACTGTTGAATGGAGTGTAGATGTGATGTCTGGGGCACTGACAACCATTTTGGATCATGAGGTAGAACACTAACCCTGGCAGAGTAGAAAAAGGAAGAGTCTTTTGACTACAGAGCTGCCTTATGGACCTGGATTATTCATCTCTAGATTTATTTCATTTGTTGTTGTTGTTCTGTGCCATCAAGTCACTTGCGACTCATAGCGACCCTATGTACAAGAGCCTTAAACGCCGTTCTATCCTGTGCCAACCTCGCCGTCTCAAACACACTCATTCCCATCACTCCACTCACAGAATCGATCCATCTCATCGAGGGTCTTCCTCTCCTGCACCGTCCCTCCACTCTCTCAAACATGATGTCCCTCTCCAAGGACCAGTCCCTCCTTGCAACATGCCCAAAGTATGTCAGAATCCTTAACTCCAGGGAACATTCTGGCTTCACCCTCTCCAAGACAAACCTGTTTGTTCTCCTAGCCATCCATGGTATATTCAATACTCTTCTCCAGCACCACAACTCAAAGGCATCAATTCTCTTTCTATCACCCCTAGTCACTGTCCAACTCTCCGATGCATCACCCCTATTTCATTTGAGAAAACAAAATAATCTCTGTCTTTTAAAGACGTTGCTATTTTGCTACTGCTTTTGTTATGTGCTTTTACCCACATACTTAACTTGCTGCCTCTTATTTATGAAGCACAGTAGGGCATGCTGCCAAGAACGCTGGTCTAGATTTTTAATTAAAAGACATAAAGCTGTGGCACAGAGACCAATTCAGCATATGCAGCAATGAAATTTGTAGGCCAAACAAGTGTAAATTACATTACTTCTAAAATCAACTTAAGGCACGATGAGGTTGAAAAAAACACAGGTCCTCAACCTTAGCTGATATGTCCGTTTGGACTAGAGTTAATGTTTCCAATGACCATACTTGGTCTACACTGGCCCACTGCCGTTTGCCATGTGCCCATACCACAGCTGACAGCATGCCCAATGACGTAACTGGCTCTTCAGCTCTCTATTATGAAGCCCATAGATCAGAGGGTTAAAACACTGGGCAAATGCAAAAACCCCAAAAAGCACCAGGTTTAAAGAAAAGAAAAAGACCCCACACACCTTCCCCAACCCGATGAAAACCAGGGTGGGAATGATATGTAAGCTTATCTGCACTAGATGAATCAGGACGGTTTTCCTGGCTTGGGTATTTGACCTGTTAAAATGGCCAGCCCGTTTCCCTTCTCGGTATATTAGAGAGTAACTGATAAGGATGACAGACAAGGGAAGGCAAAAGAAAGCCATGCCGATGACTCTGGCAGGAACGCCGTTCAAGAGGACGGGGCAAAAGGGTTCTGGTTTTAAAACATCAGCTGGAGTGACGCTGGTGCTCTCAATCAAGAATAAGCAAATGTTCTTGAGTATAATCGTGACCCACGTCCCAGCCAGAATCCTGTACTTAAAGGAGCTGACAAGGGATGGAGAGCTCAAAGGCCAGCAAATCGCCAGGTATGTGTTGAGAGCCATCAAGGCCAGGGTGAAGAGGATCCCTTCCCCAAGGCTCAGCTGGAGCCCAAACACCACCCAGCACACCAGCAGGGGGCTATTGGCCAGCAGAGCCCGCATCCCCTGGAAAACAATGCCCAGGCCACAGTAGGAGGAGATGCACAGGAGATGGTGACAGAGGAGAATGTAGCGGACTTCTTTCCTCAGTTTCAGATTCTGGGACACAATGGCAATAACAATGATCGTGATAAACGTGGCAAAGGAGAAAGTGACCACATAGACAGAGGCCTTCACGGTGGCTTCTAGCCTCAGCCAGTCCGAGATGTTGCAGTGCTCAGATGAAGAGTTCATGGTTTTCTGGGCGAGGCTCCTGAAGGAGAAAAGAACAAGGGAAGTGAATCTCTGTTAAAGCTCTTGCCTCATTTCCTAGCTCTTCCGCCATAGGGTCTTGTGATCAATCTCATGGAACAGATTGTTTTCATACAGGATGGCAATTTCCGATAGGACTGCTATCAACCCTCAGAGCTAGAGAAATCAGCTAGACTCTTCCTTTTGATTCAAGGGAGGTGGATATATTCAAGTTTTCCAAAAGGAAGATTTGAAGATATACTGAGTATTCAGCAGGTTATTAAAATTCAGGTCCTTTTCCGTCTTTGATTGTAATTTTTTTTTTTTTCAGTCCAGACCACAGCTTTCTGAAAGTCAGACAGTTAAGCACCGAACACTTATCGTGCAAGTTCCAGGAAAGAAGTTAGGGCAGGAATTATACAGAATCTCAGAGAAGTCAAAGAAGGGGAAGTTGTGACTCAGAGTTAAATTTTTGGCGTCACAAAGATTTGAAAGGGTGACTAACAACCGTGGCAGGGTAATGGCGTTTTTTGCTAAATTTTACTATCAATTTTCTAGGGTCAAAACTGTTCTCAGACTATATTCCTCATTAACCCTGGTGTACTTTCTTCTCCAGCAGATGGCTTCATTATACACTTTCCACTAATGTGGAAACTGGAACTTAGAGAGGTTAGGTAACTTGCCCAAGGCTGGAAGAATGCAGCTAGGATGTGTATTCGGGAATACCATCCCAGGTCCTACACTGCCAACCACCACAGAACCACTTGAACATGTCTCTGGTTTTTTCTTGGGCAGTATAATTTGATCAACCAGCTGGGTATTGTGTATATGAAAGTATGGTTCGTATGTTGCAGACATTGGAAGACTGTCCGGGAGATAGTTAGGACTTTTGTGGCCACTGAAATGGGTAAGAGATGAGTAACAGCTTTGTAAAACCTTCCCCAGTGGTTCTGCAATTAATGGCATCATGGAGGAAACCCCAAATGACAGTCTTGTTGTTTGGGTGAAAGTTGATGGCAGAGATTCCAACAACGGCCTCTTTGCACCTGTCAAGTGGTCAGCCTCACCAAGGCCTTTGCTGTCATGCTCTGCCTACAGGACTTGTCCTAGTACCTCCTCCCACATCAGAGTTGACTGGACCCCAGGTTAGTACTGCACCTGGAAAGCCACTACATGGCCTGTGCTGTGTCTACCAGATTCTCTTTCAAAGATATATATAATCCAATTGTCCTTCAACAGATGAACAGAAAGACAAAATGTGACATTACTCAAAGATAAGGAGAAATGATGAATGTTATAGCATGGATGAATATTGAAAACACCAAACCAAGTAAAATAAGTCAGTTGTAAAAGGATACATATTGTTTGGTCTCATTTATAGGAAAGAGATATATAGAAAACAAAGCTTATTAGTGATTACCAGGGTCAGACAAGGTTTCTGGTAGTATAGTAGTTAAAGCAATTTGGCTGCTAACCAAAGGTTGGTCTTTCAAACCAATCCTCTACGTAGAAAGACCTGGCAGTCTGTTTTCATAAAGATTTACAGCCTCAGAAACCCTACAGGGCACTTCTGCTCTGCTACAGGATTCCTTTAGTGGGAGTGGGTTTGCTGTTCTGTTTGTTTTACCAGGGCAGGAGGGTTGAGGAAAGAGGGAATCTTACCTTTGGGGGCCCTCAGTTTGATGGAATGATTTGGAAAAGAAGAGTGTTAATGATTGTTCAACATGGTGTCTGTAAGCAGGTAAATGAGTATAGGTAGCATGAGAATGGCTGAGTCCGACCTCTGCTAATTCTACAAAGGGGAACTGTCCCCATCAACAACATCCCCTGTAGAAAACTAACTCCTGTAAAGTCAGACACCATCTCTCATATTCTTGTACCTACTTCTACTAATTCCAACACCGATATGACTGCTCTCCTGGGTCTGAAATCTATTGCCGTGACCGCACAGACTTCATAGAACCGTACTCTTAGTTATGGGTTTTATTAGAGAAGTTAACAGGCCGGCAGCAGGATACAATACCTCAGTCCAGACAGTTTCTCAAGCATGGTCACAGGCTTTTTGACCTTCAACCTCATGGCTTAGGTCAGTCCTACAAAGTTCCTGTAGTCCTGCCTGTCGTGACGTCTTCCCTCAGTCCTCCTGCAGGCTTGGATGAAGGCCTCTGGTTCCGGCTGTCGAGCAGCAGACTCAATTCCATTCTGTCTCATGTTGTCTCTGGTTCTCTACTGAGGCTGCCTTTGCTCTTGTATAGATCCTGGTCTTGTTGATGCAGGAATTCCCGGCCGTGACGGACACACACTGCTTCCTTTTCCTTTTTGACATTTCTGCCACTGAGACTGCTCCGTTTAAACCTCATGAAACAGTGAGACTAGCCAGTCCCCTTGTGGATCGACTAACACGATCCCATCATCCACGTGAAAAAAACCCTGGAAACCACAAATCAGTTGTATGTTGAATTGTACACGGGGTTTCCGCTGAAGGAGCCATGGAGGTGCAATGACTAAGGACTCAACTGCTAACCGGGAGATTGTCAATCAAACCCACCCAGACCCGGCACCTCCAAGGAAAAAGGCGTGGTGATCAGATTCCATAAACACTACAAGCCTACAAAATCCTGTGGGACGTTCTACTCTGTCATACAGGTTTCCAAGAGTTTAAAGAAGCTCAATGGCACTTTACAAAAAATAACAAGAATATTTAAGGCCAATATTGAAATGCAAAGAGTCTCACTTTATATATATAAACTATTAAAAAAAATCACTGCTATCAAGCTGGAGCCTACTCCTGGCTGGACCCTCCACTGAGTCTTTGAAGCTCTGAATTGCACAGGAGGGGATTGCTCATCGTTATCCCACAGGGCTGCTGGAGGATTTGAACTGCCAGAGAGGTGCCACCTTTGGGTTAACAACGCAGCTCCCTACAGATCACTCCACCAGGGGTGTGTGTGTCTGTCTGCATCCATGTGCACACAGATAGTTTTGTGCCATTCGAACTGGAACCAATTCATAGCTGCCCCACCAGTGGGTTTTCAGAGGTGTAAACTGTACAGGAGGAGATTGCCATCCTTCTCTTGTGGCGCTGCTGGTGGATTTGAACTGTGTGCACTTGGGCTGACAGCACAGCTCCTTAAGCACTAGGCTACCAGAGGAGGAAGGCCTTCCTGCTAGCTTCCTTGCTCCTGCCTACCAGGACTTCCTGCTGAGACCACCAGCCCACATACACTCCTGTATTTATTCCATTTGTCAGGACCCTCCCTGGTTGCCATAAACTGGACCAGGATGCAAAGCTCTCATTGATCACACAACTGAGGTTCCCACAGAATAAAATTTTAAAAGCTGTTATTAGATTTTATTTTCTGAATACTGCAGCTGCAGTTATAATAAAAGGCTGGACCATCATAGCCTCCTTCCTTCCAGATCTGAAGAGTTTCAGGGAACTGTGTATTGTCGGGAACGAGCAGGGACCACTTTCCTTTGATTTCCAGTATGTTTAGCGCATTGACTAGCTCAGCAGATGGTTTCATCATTAGGTCAGCCCCTCTTCATTGAATCCTGAAATACGTGGTGTGTAGTACTAGACTGTCGATTTATTAGATGATAAAATATTGTCCTTGACATAAAGAAGCTCGTTATCCAGTAGAAGCAGCAGAATATAAATGTCCTAAAATAGATCACCCTCAACAAGATGGATTGAACACTGCAGCTGCAACAACGGGGGTGAGGACGGCTGAGAGTGAGGCTGGGGCAGCGGGAGGCAGATTTCAGTCTGTTGCACATTGGGCTGCTGTGAATCAAAACCAGATCAATAGCACCTACGATCACCACTACCACCAAGAACAAGATATGGAGGCAGACGCACCAAGCCTAGTTCACTGCTCTGCCAAATAATTAAGACAGTGCTTTGGGAGAGGAGTTTGGAAACAGAAGTGATCACTGCAGCCGGCCTGGAGCAGTCAAGGATGACTGCCTGGAGGAAGCAAGGCTTGGATCTGGCCTTCCTAGGATGAAAACTAAGGCAAAACCAGGGTCAGGTGAGGTGGAGGGAAGAAGAACAAGGACGATGAATGAGTGGGTTTTGCTGGAACGTTGGACTTACATTGGAGAGGAGGTTTTGGAGAAAGGCTTGCATTTCCTCCTATGCACAATAAGGTGTCTTGTTAAATTAAGATTTGGAGAAGCCCATGCTTCCAGCATTGCTCCAAGATATCCAATCGTGCCGACACAACATTGCCAGGAGCTTGGAAGAGCCGGCATCCAGTGAAGTGGGAATACATAGTAATATTGTAAGAGTGAGGGGGCTTTGTGACATTGTGATTAAGGCATTTGACTGCTAACCAAACCAGTTTGAGTTCGCCAACTGCTCCAAAAACCCTCATCTCTGCTTGTGGAAGGAAGTCAAGGGGTAGTAACGTGAGAGAGTTGCTGGTAAATGGGGAACCCTGATTCCTCCTCAAATCTACAGTCATCAAATCAATTGTGACTCATAACGGACGACCTTGTAGGACAGAGCAGAATGGCCCCACAGGTCCTCCCCACCCCATGTAAATGTTACGGAAGCAGACTGGTACAGCATTCTCCTGCCAAGGGTTCGACTGTGTGCTTTAAACACTGTTCCACCAGGTGCCCTGAGCTTCACATCCAAGGCCTCAGATCTCCAACATCATGTTCATTTCCAAGATCATGTTGTTGTTTAATTTTATCTCACCTTTTAACGCAATGTCATGCTTGGAAAAGTAGTAGTTGTTGTTCGATACCATTGAGTCGAGTATAACTCACGGCAACCCTACGAACAACAGACCTGAACTCTGTCCTATCCTGTGCCATCATCGTCATCTCCAATACACTTGACCTCATCACTGCAGCCACTGTCAATCCACTTCACTGAAGGTTTTCCTCACTTACTCTGATTCTCTACCTTTCCAGCATAATATCTCTTTCCAAGGAAGCGCCTCTCCTAGCAACGTGCCAAAAATATGTGAGGCTAACTTTCGTCATCCTTA